TGATCTTGTTTAGTTGTAGAATTTGGAGGAGGGCATTAAGTTTGGGGGAAGTTGACAATTATCCGCCCCCTCCCCCCCTCCCCCTCCCCCCAAAGCTCTGGTGGTGGAAATATCAACCAACATAGTTGGTAGGGGGGGGGCCGCCTACTACTACTACTGTCATAAGCCCTAAACCCACAACCCCAATTACTCAGTGAGGTTCTTGGACGAGTTTGTGGCCCAGTACGCTGCAGGAGGCCAGGAATCGATCCCTGCAAGCTGAAGAACTTGGGATCATTGAGTATAGGGGGGCATACAGGGGTTAATTATGTGGGGATGATATAGGGATTGTATAGAATTATATAGGGATTATTTAGGGTTATGTGGGATTCTATAGGGTTTTAGCTGAATTTGGAAGTGCATGCTTCATGTGCTGAACCAAGTGTGGCTTCCTTCATTCCGGTGCTCAGGTCGGTTGGAGTCTCCAGCGCCCGAGAGCCTGCAGTCCCAGATCAGATGGCTTTGCACAGGTGATCCCAGGACTTTTATTCTTCTTACTATTACTATTAGTACTACTATTACTCTTATTCTTATTACTGTTATCTTTATTTTTGTTATGATTGTGAGTATTTTGTACAGGCCCAGAACTTAAAGACACAAATTCTGCGATCCGGCACAGCATGCAAGATGAAATTACTGAAGTCAGCGAAGCAGGGCTCAGCGATTTTTCTGTTGAGTGCAGATAGTAGCAACAAGCCGCAGGAACGATTCATGTGATGATTGGGTTTTTGAGGCATGTTTGATTCAATGGCCTCCGTTCCTTAGGATTCTCAAGGATGGCCTGACCCTACTCAGGTTACATGTAGCCGGCTTACCATTCATGTGCGAGTTTGAACTGCTACTGTTTGGGAGCTGTTCTCATCTATCATACCTTCATGCCATGAACTTCTAGTCCTCACTTGGATAATGGAAAAGAAAATGGAAACTACTGTAGTATATTGGGATCATATAGGGATAATGCAAAAGAAAATGGAAACTACTATACATTTTCAGTGTCGCCCCAGCTTTTGCGCCCAGAAGTGGAGACCCTGGCAGAGCTTGTGAAGACGGGGCAGCGACACTCGGCAGATGAGATGTCAAGAAAAACGGTTTCTCGACATGGTTCCTAGATCCGAGATCCCTACGGCATCCCTATTCTGAGCATCCCGCCGGGCACATGAGCTGTAGTCTAAACTCCTTGAAGGGGGGTTATATATAGGGGACTGTATAGGGGACTACTACAGGGGTATGAAAGGGGATACTAGGGGTTTAGACTATAGCTCACATGGCCTAGCTCTATGGTAGGATTCCCTCATGTTCTCGTGGCAGCACGCAGTTTCTGCAACAGGCTTCGCGTGACGATCCTTTCTTAGCCCATGGAGGATGTTGAAGGGCACTTGGGTCTTTCCAAAGTTAGGGATCCCTTCTTGCAGGTCCCTATGGTAAGGACTACAGTAATGGGGGGTCTACGTTGGGATTCCCCCTTTCTTTATGGAAACTATCACTTGAGTTAGGGTCTGGTCTTGTTCTCACTGCATTTGTTGTGACCCCTTCCCCACAACGTAGAGTATCCCCCCCACTTCTAACGTCAAGCATGGCTTACGGGAGCCCAAGTGAAAGTTGGATTGTATTTTGACATGAAAGGTGGGGCATCTCGTATTGGATGAGTCACTGGCCCAAGTTTCTACCCAGGATTGAAGGACCACTAGTTGGTAGCAGAATGGGGGTTTCCCAAAATTAGGGATACCTTTATTGGGGGGCCTCCATAACAAGGACTATAGTATTTATTTGGTCTATATTGGGGTCCCCCCATTTTGGGAAACTGCCCATATTGGGAAGCTTAGGTAACTTCAAGGACGTAGATTCTTTGATTTAGCGGCCCAAAAAGATCCCATGTTTCAACAACCCCCCATGCAGGGCTGAGGCACTTAGAGTGTTGTACCCTGCAAGCATCCAAGGAAACTCGCATCATTGGCAGCAGGCCCTGCTTCAAGGGTTGAAGGTTTAGGATTCAGGGTGTAGGGTTTAGTGGTTTCCACTGGTAATTCTGGGCACAGGTGCCCAGATCAAGTGCTAGATGATCCCGATGAAGCCCTACAAAACACACCCTGCAGAAGCCCTTGGCAGGGGCCGTATGTTGCGTTATCAAACCACAAAAGAGGTGGACCCAATGTTATTTTGGATCATGATGGCAACGCTCAGTAGAGTATACCGATTAAGAAGAAGGAGCATTTGAAAGGGTAAGCATGGACCAACAAGGTAGGACCCCATACTGGATTGTTCCAGGTTGGCCCAGATTCTTTAGCCTGTGATCCCTAGCCCCTGCTCCAATACTTTCATACTAGCTTCCTTGTATGCCATCACAGTAGAGTCCCGTAAGCCTAGAACACTAAACTCCGCGCACCCTGAAGCCCTGAACCCTAAAAGGTAGTTTTCCGAAATTAGGGTACCCCTATACGACCCTCAATAAGCTATAATCCTTATTCTTGGGATCCCCAAAAATACCCCTAATTTTGGGACTTTAAGCCGCTAAACCCTAAACCCTAAAGCCTAAACTCATATTATAGTATATTACAGTATATTAAAAAATGTTATGGTATATTATGGTATATTATGGTAGATTATGGTATATTATGGTATATTATGGTATATTATGGTATATTATGTACTCCTAAACCCCTAGACCCCTTATCTCCCTGATGCAGGCCTGGACTCTCTACTGCCAGCGCTTTGGTCATGGTGTGCCGGCATCTCAGTCCGAGACCAGGGTTGGTGAGTAGTTTCTTTAATGCACTACCCGTTTGGGTTTAGGGGTTGAGGGTTTAGGGCAGTGGGTGCTAAAAATCCTGCATGACTCTGAGTACCTTGTACTTTGGGATATATGGTACTGTAACATAGTAAGGTCTTGCAGGATTTTTAGCATCAAAAATAGTAGTATCTTAAATAGAGATACTATTGTCCTCAGAAAATGCATAAGATGCGTATACGAAGTATGCTCCTACTTGTTCTACCACCAAAAAGGATCACCTCCTAGGGATTTAGAGAGACGTCACGTAGCTGAGGTTTTGAGGAAGATGGATTCTTTTCCATAGGAAAAGAGCCTGTGGGGCTCCCAAACCTCCCCAAGGTCGGAACTATGGGCCACCTTCAAAAGCAATTACATATAGGGTATATGGTAGGTAGGTATGTATCCTCGTTTTTGTCCATTGATTTTGATTCCAGAGGATTTGCATTTTCCTGGTCAAGTCGGGCCTATGAGACTGTGATCCAGTATTCAGCAAAGACATATGAGCTGCAGCCTAAACTCCTTAAAGGTGGTTATATAGGGGATTGATTATCTAGGGGAGTATTTTAGGGGTTAGTACAGGAGGAGTTCAGACTATGGCTCATATAGTTAGTCAGCATAGCGTTCAATAGACTGAGTTGTTGAGAGGCCCGTGTACGCGCACCATGCAAAAAAGGGCCGAGTGTATCTCATGCAGATTTGCGACTTTTCGCATCCTTCTCATCCTTGCAGTGTTCGGAGCAGTTTGCAAGTGCTGCTTGGATCAGATAGTCGGCTGGACCCCAGAACAAGATCGACTCCACTTAGTGCAGACAATTTCTAGCCCGCTGTCGACCTTTGCACCACCCAGCGAGTCTTTGTGCTTGAAAGCTTGAGCGCTTGACAAGGAATGATCCTTACAAGCACAACTCCGTGTTTCTGCCGCTTGGCTGACCTGGTGGGAAAAGCATAACAAAGCGCTGATGGGAAGTTCCACATGTTGCCAACACGCCTGCTTTCAAAGTATGCCATTCCATGTTTCGAAGCATTGGTCCCCCAAATATTCTTGAGCACAAATGTTCGTGACATAATGGCCCTGGCTTTTGAAGCCTCATATACCCCAAGCCCCAAGCACAACTGCCCCTTGCCAGGGTGGGCTTCATGGATTTCCTGGCGTATCGGGGATGTATGGCTTGGAGCTGAGAACCCAAATCCACAAGCCATCGCCGTGGCGAACGCGTATGGGAGTTGTGCTAAACCGGCAGGAAACCGTTAGAGGGTGCCGTGGCAAGTAAAGCGACCCGCGCCATACCACTGTTGAGAAAATCTTTCCAGGGTGTCCTGCGCGACTTCTGGGTGGGAATGTCACAGCATCAATGGGTTTCTATTATACTAGAATATATTATAACAGGTAACAATAGACCACCATCAGCCACCATGTTACCACCCATGCCGCCAGCCCTACCTGCCAAGGCTATGTATGGATCTGTCCTGGACACCGGCTACAACTATTGGGACTGGAATGAGCTGGGATCCAAGATAGAAAATGTTTTGCAGCTGTCGAAGGGTCCCTGATCTCCTTGGTATAAGAAAGCTCCAAATTCAAGATGCCTGTGCCTGCATGGTCGTTTCCCAAATGAGGGGAACCCCAACACAGACCCCAATACACCTGCCAGTTTCCATTTCATTTTCCATTTTCTTTTCCATTTAATTCTCCATTATAGTAGTTTCCATTTTCTTTTCCATTATCCCAATATAACCAACCAGAGTCCTTATTAAAGGGGCCCCCCAAAAAAGGTTCCCTGATTTTGGGAACCTCCCGTAGTTGACTTGCGAGTCGAGAGCCTTGCTTTGGGTCATTGCCCCTAAACCCTATATAGGGGTTTCCCGAAATTAGGGGTACCTTTTTGGGGGTTCCCATAATAAGGACTATAGTATTTTGGGGTCTATATTGGGGTACCCCTATTTAGGGAAATGACCATGTAGGGTAATATAGGGATAATGGAGAAAGAAAATGGAAACTACAGGAATTATAGGGATTATGTAGTGGTTATATAGGGATTATAGGGTATGTAGGGGGTAATATAGGGATAATGGAAAAGAAAATGGAAACTGCAGGAATTACAGGGATTATGTAGTGGTTTTATAGGGATTATAGGGTATGTATATTGGGGGTAATATAGGGATAATGGAAAAGGAAATGGAAACTACTATTTAGGGTTTAGGGTTTAGGATTATAGTCCCCCTGAAGTAGATAGAATATGGGGCATATGGGGATCTTATTGTCAT